GCTGCATCCCTGGCCTGCTCCCATTCCCAATTTTCCCATCCCAGAGATTCCCACTCCCTTTTTCCTGGCTCTGCCCCTCCAGGCCTCCCCATTTTCCCCTGGGATCCTTTTCCATCCCGGGATGCGGCTCTGCCTGTCCCCCTCTCCCGGGAAGAGGCTCGGGAGCCCCTCGGAGCTCGGAACAAATCCGTGTTTGGATGATCCCGGCTCCTCAATTATCCATAATCAGCGTAATTCCATCAGGACCGTAATTCCCAAATCAGATTAAACCTCTCCATTTGTCCGGAGCTTTGGGCTCTTCCCTCCCTCTTTTCCATCGATTTTCCCCCAGCCCAGCCCCTCGCTGAGCTTTTCCAAGGGTTTTTCCAGCTGGAATTCTCCAGGCCAGGTCCCTTTTCCACTCCCAGCCCCATCCAGGGGGGTGGGGCAGGCAGGGGAGGAAATTCCAGCACCAAAATTCCCAAAATTTCCCCCAATCCCTGCTAGAACTCCATCGGTGCCATTCCCAATGATCCCACTGCAAATCCCACGGGATTCAGAAATTTGGGAATTGTTTCCATGTTCTTACAGAGCCATTCCCAACGATCCTGCATTCCTGGATTCCCACAAGATTGGGAAATTTGGGAATTGTTTCCATGTTCTTACAGCACCATTCCCAGCGATCCTGCATTCCTGGATTCCCATGGGATGGGGAAATTTGGGAATTGTTTCCATGTTCTTACAGCACCATTCCCAGCGATCCTGCATTCCCTGGATTCCCACAAGATTGGGAAATTTGGGAATTGTTTCCATGTTTTTACAGCATCATTCCCAGCGATCCTGCATTCCTGAATTCCCACAAGATTGGGAAATTTGGGAATTGTTTCCATTCCTTTGGCTAAGGAAGGAAAACTGGAAGGCGCCGGGATGCAGCGGGAGAAGGGAGGGCTGCGCTAACACCCTTAATAATGAACAACGCGCTAATGAGCACTAATTAATTAATAACAACGATCGATTCCCGATGAACGCCCCGCGTGGCCAGGAGCTCCCAGCTCCAGCCCCGGAATTCTCCTGGATTTTGGGAATTCTCCTGGATTTTCCCAGATCCAACCCCGGAATTCTCCTGGATTTCTCTGGCTCTGGAGATGGGAACCAGCTGGGCATGGACAGGGATGATCCCATTTTTCCAGCCTGGGAATTCTCCTGGATTTTCCCAGCTCCAGCTCTGGAATTCTCTTGGATTTTGGGAATTCTCCTGGATTTTCCCAGATCCAGCCCAGGAATTCTCCTGGATTTTGGGAATTCTAGATTTTCCCAGCCCAGGAATTCTCCTGGATTTTCCCAGCTCCAGCTCTGGAATTCTCCTGGATTTTCCTGGTTCTGGAGATGGGAACCAGACGATCCCATTTTTCCCGCTTGGGAATTCTCCTGGATTTTCCCAGATCCAGCCCTGGAATTCTTCTGGATTTTCCCAGCTCCAGCTCTGGAATTCTCCTGGATTTTCCCAGATCCAG